CCCCACCCCACTAACCTGCTTTCCAGCTCTGTTCTCCTGGGCAGGGCAACAAAAAAAGACCCAGCCAATCAGCTGGGACTCAGGAGGCGGAGAATAGATGGGGGCGGGGCCAGTCAGAAGTGGCATTGGCCGCTTCTCTGAACTACTCAAAATTTCCGCTACCAGTTCTTCAGAACCAGTCAGGACCTGCTGAACACCCACCTCTGAGTAAAAACCAATTTCATACCATAAGAAAGGTGTTGACGAGGTGGCAGGGGGATGGTGCAATTGAGGCTTCGCTTGACTCAGAGGAGATTTATCGTGTACACTGGAAGAAGTTAGTCTCTTTTGGCATTTGCTAATCTGCCCAAAACAGGATTTCATAAAACTTTAGGCTCCAGTTACCACTGCAGTCATGGCTTTTACGGACAGAGATATAACTCTGCATAACTATTACAGCTGTCAATCACATGTCCACGTTAAGTAATGTTTGGACGCAATTTATTTGGCTGCCATATTTATATAGGAAAAAGGGCTCTTTGGATAGGCTGAAATGCCCTCCTGCAAATACTTACTGATCTCCTAAGAAAAGATTAGGCCAGACTTCGTCAGCGTGGTGGCAGGAAGGGCTCCCAGTATTCAGGAGCTGCTCTAAATCTTGAACACTGGGGCTGTCTTCCGACGGGGGTCCGAGATCTTTCGGGCCCACTGAAGCGCTCTCGTCAGCCATTTGGATCAGAAGCTGGAATCTGACACCTGAGAATGCAACCCAGGCTCGCTGGTTTACTTTGCTCCAGCGCAGATCACTTGTTATTTTGAAAGTGGAACAGTGCCAGGAGTTGCACATCAACAAAGCATGGGTCTAATTGAATCAACGAAGGTCTGCTGTCAAGGCTCCCTAAAACTGCCATTCAATGACAGCTATGGTGGAAGCATAAAGTCTAACAACTGGAAGAATAATTGTAGTGTGGCATTCTTTCTGGCAGGAAAAACATGCCCGTGACCTGCATTTTCCTCCCATTCAGCCACCTCCGCTGATCCAGGACAATGCCCCTCCGGCTTTGATTTTCTAAGGAGAAACTGGACAGCGCTCAACCAGATCTGAAGCAACCAATATTGTTGTGGTTCGCCGGCAGCAGGTGCCGACGGCTGAGGTCTCGGAGAGCAAGGACTCAGATGAGGGGCCTGTGTGTGATGCAGGGATGGGGCCAGGATTATCAGGGAGTGGAGTGCTGCCTTCGGAGATTGTGGAGGCTGGCAGCAGAGATGAAGAGGTCCCTGAGGAGCCTGTGCCGAGCACGCATGCGCACAGGGCTGCTCGTAGGAAAGAGCAGCTGCAGCAGCACGGGTGACTCGGGAATAAGGCCGCAAGGTGATAGCCCCTCTTTTAAGAGATAAAAGCCAGCCTGAGAGACCGGGATTCTTTGCAGGAAGCAAATAAGTTCTTTCACTTCAAGCCTTGTGGAAGTTCAGACTATCTTGGTTTGTGTTTGTAGACTTTTTGTTTGGAATATTTCTTGGCAATTTAATCTAGTGCTTTTGGCAGCCTTGCACAACCTTGGCAAGGCTCGTTCTTATCGGAGACAATTAGTTTTAATAGCCTTTTAACCGCGAATTAACAGAATTCACAGAGAAGCATTAAAAGGGTTTTGCTTTTATCTCTGTTTATTTACTTAGAACAAGGTTTGGGTCAGAACAAATATTGGAAATACAACTGGGGGCTGGTTGGTAATATTGAGACTGTGGGAAGATCCTGCAGTCATTTTGTGACAAAATGTCCCCTCAGGAGGTTCCAGGGATCCATGCAAAAACTACATCATCTTGAGGGCAGTGCTGTCCAATGGCTAAATGATCTAGATATCCGGTTTTAGCCATTCTAGTAACTGCTTATATATAATTTTCATTCATTCTTTGTATTGTGCATTTTAAAACTAATTCACTGTTCTGGTATTTTATATATTTTTACACATTCTGTATGCTGTTTTTTTGTGTGAATTTTATGTATTAATGCTATATTTTGTTACGCCATTTGAAATAGATGAATAAAAGCCTTCACCAACTTGGTGTGCTTAAGAAGAATTGCAACGTTTGTAATTGTGGAGCATTCGGAGGTTGGAAAAAGTTACTTTATTTGATTAAGACTGCTATGGAAGGGCTACTACAATCTGTAACCAAAGCATCCCTTGGTGGAAAGGAGTCCTCGTGGTGTAACAAGTATATTAATGATATCTTTACAAATAATACTTTTTATTCCAAAGCAGCGTTTCTCAATCTCAGCAACTTTTAAGATATGTGGGATCAATGTGAATCAGGAAATGGGTTTTATTTTGAGTTCAAGGTTAAGCTCTCCATCTTGAAAAAATATCTGTTGAAATGGTTTTGAGTTGGTCGGCTTTGGCAGAAAAAACGATTGAAACGATTCAGGTATTTCAGATTTGCTCAAAACTCTAAAAAGGTTTTAAATGCCATCATTTCTCCCCTTAGCTTCCCCGTCTTTTCTTTCTACCTTCAAATTAAGCCCAGAGCTCCCATAACCCACGTGCGTGCCAAGTGGTTTTACACACTGGTGGTACCACTTGTGCTTGTGGCCCTATCAATGAAATGAGCCATGGATTCGGATTTAGGAAGAGGCAGCCAACTGTAACCAGCTACCAAGTTTGGAGTACTCTTTTGAGAGTAAACGATTTATGGAAAATTATGAACAAGTTAGTAAAACACATGCAACAGCCATGTGTATTCATTACTTAAGAAAAACAATCACTGCAAATTCTATCAGCAGAAAATGTCAGTGCCATTAATGAATGGAAATGCTTTATATTGCAATGGGAGGCTTTATTACCTATTTAAAGTATCGAGCAGAATATGGCTAATATAGTAATTGGCTAATTGTCTATTTAAATCACTTATGATTCATAATCATTATACTTTATAATCATTATGCTTTCGTACTTTTAACTGTCACATTTGTATATTCCATCTTAAATTCTAATTAAAAACACTCCTTCTATAAATTGGTTTCCCCCCTAAAATATCAGTTTAAGTGCACCACCACTTAAGTTACATATTAATTATCTCCCCTTTTAAATTCCATTAAACGTTTAACATTTTATTATCTAAAACATTAAAATTAATAATCCCTTTAAAACTACTTAGCATATATAAATCACATTCAAATCAGAAATTGACAATATTGTTGAAAGTTCAATAGTTTTTATATTTACGGTATATTTGTATGTACAGTATATATAGTTCTGTTTGCAAATATTGTAATAACATTTATAGAAGACAGAATAAGAGAGTCGGAAGAGACCTTGGAGGTCCTCTAGTCCACCCCCCTGCCTAGGCAGGAAACCCTACACCATTTCAGACGAAGGGTTATCTAATCTCTTCTTGAAAACTTCCAGTGTTGGAGGATTCACAACTTCTGGAGGAAAGTTGTTCCACTGGTTGAGTTATAGGAAACTTCTCCTAAATTCCAGATTGCTTCCCTTTAATTCTGCTAAAAAAAAAACAAAAAACCCTGCACCTAACCAGCCCTGCTTTTTGGTTTAAAAATGAAATACCGATTAAATGGCCAGATAAAGCGACCCACCATGGCCAGATCAGATATATAACTTCACTATTTGAGGCAGCTGGCACGAGGCCGTGTAAACGGTTATGCTGGGCAAGCAGGGGTGGGTTGCGCGGGGAACCCTCCACGAAGCGGAGCGGGGCGAACGGCGGCGCCCCAAACAACACAGCCCCCCGCCGGAGCTGCCGGCGGTCGAGAGGGAGGGCGTCTCCGGAGGAAAGCCGCTGCCCGACTCGGGGGCTCCTCTTGGGACGAAGGGCTCCGCCATTTGGGGGGGCGGGGGGGTGAGCGGAAGAGACAAGAGGCGCGCGTGGCAGAGCTGCGGGAGGGGGTGCAACTTGGCCCCCCCCTCCCTTTCCTCCTCTGCCCACCACACCCCCATCCGGGCCGGCCCGTTGCGCCTGCTTCGCGGCCTCGGCGCCTCGTTCCTCGAAGGCCGCTGGCGGGGTCTGGAAGCGTTCCTCCACCCTCACCCCCCAAAAAACTGCCTCGCGGCCCACTCCGCGGCCGAAAGCCTCGCGGTCGCTTAGCAACCGCGGCCTCACCGGCCCGGGAGACACAAACCCCGCCCCTTCCGCTCCGCCGACCCCCGCCCCTTCCGCCACTCTAAGGGGCGGGGAGGAGCGGCTTGCCTCGCCCACCCGCCCCCGCCCCCCCCGGCGCGGCCCGCCCCCCCCCCCCCCCCCACCCGCCCCTCCCCGGGTGTCTTTTGAGGGCGGGGGCTGCCGTTGCTGGGGCACCTTTCTCCCCCCACCCCAAAAAGAGCAAAGCCGACCCCGGTCCCTTTTTTCACAGAGTGGAAGGGGGGAGGGGGGGGGTCTGGTCTGGTTGACCCTGGGTGTTCAGTCCAGATGCCCTCTAGGTAGCCCAGAGGAGGCTCCCTTAAGCCAAGCGGAGGAACATCTGGAGACCTCGGGGTGCCCCACCGGCAGAAGCTGAGGAGGGGGTGGTGGTGAGATGGGTTAGGGATTTTCTGCCTTCACTGTGAGTTGTATTATATTGGGGGGGGGGTGCACGAAGGGAGGCTCAGCCAATCTCATTGTACCTCTGACAAAGGTATATACTACACTATACACTATATACTATGCACACTACTATACTATACTAATACTATAGTATACTATACACTATACACTACTATACACTATACTATACACTATACAGGGTACGGTGCAATATGGGTCAGGGAGCCTCTTTTCCACCTTTCACACAACAAGCTGGGACCAGGTGAGCCTCTTTCTTGCACCTGCCCAGGTGGGCATCCCCCCATTCCACACACCCCCAGCCAAACATAATCTCCCCCATCTCCTTGGGAAATGGAGATGACCCCAATTCCCTTCCATGCCGCTGTAGAGAAATCAGACTTTAATCTTCTTATCTCTTTTTTTTCATTCTTAAGGTTTTGCCCTTTTTGTAAGCTTGCCCTTTTAGGCAAGGGGTAACATTTACTAACTCACTGACTCCTGGTGAGATCAGCTTTTCTGGATCAGTGCAAATGTGCAGCTAGGGATCCAAAGTGATCTGGATGCTGTGGAAGTAATGGACAATTCACACGTTTAAGGTGGAAGCTTATGAAACAGTGTTCCTGTTACATAGGTGAGACCAGTGCAAACGGTATCCCTGTACATAGGGGAGAGTGTGACAAAATGAACCAGACACCTGGCTAAATGTGATGATATTGTTCCACACAGGTTGCTATTTTATCAATGCAACAAAAGGAATCCGATTGAACTTGTTGGGCCTTTTGTATAGCAACAGGTTGAAAACTTGATAACCTTAAAGAACAGTTGTTGCTTTCCGCTTGTCCTTCCTGTTCTCTTCAGTGAAAAGCTGCTGTAACTTGGCTGTGTGTTTCTCTAACCCAAATCAGAATTTGAAAGTTATATGTTGGGGTTTTTTTTTAAAAAAAATTATCATTTTGAAATCTAAAATGTGCTTTGAGTTGAAGGCTCTTTTTAAAAAAGAAATAAATAAATAGAAGACTTGTGGGTTTATGGAAGGTTAGAAAATTTCACCATTTTTTTTTTCACAGAATAGTTTGTTCCTTGATTGTAGCGATGGGTTTCAAAACACTAATTGTATTTAAATAGTTGTTAGAAGACTGACTCAAGTACCAAGTAAGAGGAATGAATTTGCCCCTAGGAACTTTTGGTGGATTCAGAAAGGAAATTGTTAAAGGAAGTTTTACAACATACACATTCTCTCATCATGCCAGGACTGTGGCTTCTCTTATAATCCAGACTAGAGAAATGCAGTATTAATGCTATTCTTGTTCAGTCACAGAATTTCAGTTTGGATCTCAGTGTTTTGCTACAGAATAATTGCCTAAGAAAATATTGTTTTAAATACTACAGAAAAAAACAATTGTGTGTAAGATCTCTCTTTACACTTGGAGAAAGATAAAAGCCTTTTATTTTAACTTCCTCTGGGTTATTTACTTTTCTTGGCCTTCATATCTCTCTTCATCATTTGATTTGAGGTTTTTGCTAGTATCACACAAAGTGTGTGGTGATTCGTATCTTCTACCATGGCTTAATGAGCTCTGTAGATCCTATATCACTTGGATGTACTATACTTAATGTTGCTCAATAAATATTTAGTGGTGATAATTGTTTTTGAATTGGCCAGGCAGTAAACCTGTGATTACTTGAAAAATCAATACATATTTTACAGGAATTGTCTAATCAATTACCTGTTTGAGTTCACTCTGAATTATTTGTCAGTTTGTTCTCCAGGTTTGCTAAGCTGCAGATTCCTTGCCAGATTGTTAACAGCGGGGACAGGAAAAGGGGCAGCTTGCTTACTATGGGTTTTATAAGTTGCATGGGTGAAAGTCCTCCACATACTTGTTTTTACTCTGCTGTTCAAAATCAAGGGATGCTTTTGAGGTAGCTTTTCAGGCGTATAGGCTGTGGATTCATGCTCCCTGTTGCTAGTAAATAGTTTTGGAGGATTATCATGCATGTGTATGGCTTCATAAGATCTGTACTAGTTCGTTTGCTTTGACTGTTGTATGAATTCTGTTCATTTCCATACGGCACCGCACAGTACAGTTGGAAGACAGGGTTCATGGTGAAGGTACTATTTAAACTGTCTGTGGAGACTGTCAGGCATCCAGCTTGTGGTTGTGCCAAAGGTCCTTTTTTCAAGAGGCAACTGGACTTTCTGGTTGTTGTTTTTTTTTTTGAAGATGTCTCGTTTCTCATCCAAGAAGCTTCTTCAGCTCTGAGCTGAAGAAAAAAAGCAGAAAGTCCAGTTGCCTCTTGAAAAAGCACCTTTGGGATGACATTTAAAATCTTTTCCCTTTGTAGAGGGCCGATGCTATGGAGGATATTGTCTTTATTAAAATCACATTGCGTTACTGTTTTGGTTGTAGATACAGGTAATACAAGTGGCTAGTTTTAAGCTTCTGGGTATTACCCTAAAAGAGGATCTGACCTGGGTCAAAAGGGCCCAGCAGAGATTATACTACCTGAGACTTCTCAGAAAACAACTGAATGAAAAACTGCTGGTGACCTTCTATCACTGCACCAGAGAGAGTATCTTAACTTACTGCACCTGTGTATGGTTTGCCAATTGCACAGGGACAGATAGGACAGCACTCCAGAGGGTTAACCTCATTGCCCAGAGGATCATGGGTTGCCTTCTCCCCTCTTTGGAAGAGCTTTATAGCTCCCACTGCCTTAAGAAAGTTCAAAACGTTCTCAAAGATCCATCTCATCCTGGGCAGCCTTTTTTTGAACTATTACCATCTGGCAGATGGTACAGAATCATAAAAACAAGGACAAATAGGCTGAAAAACAGCTTCTATCCCTGGGCAGTAGCTCTTTTGAATTCTGCTGTATAGTGCAGTGTTGGTACAGTGTCGGGGCGGGGGGGGGGGGGGCGGTTCAATGTGTGGAGGGTGAAGGATGTGTATTTGTGTTTATTTTCATGGTCATGATGTGCACTGAAGATGGTGTTTGATTTCATTGTATGAGGTGCAGTGACAATAAACTAAACCAAACTAAACTAAACCAAACTAATCTAATCCTCAGTTTAAGAATGTTCAACTTAAGTTGTCGGCCTAGATATGAACCAGCCAACTATTACTATGAATGGTAGATGATGTTATCCTGCCACGAATCGATGAAGTGTTGGAATTGTTCAGTGCTTTCAGGAACCACTCAAAAGTGCACATCTAGGAGATTCTCAGTCATTCAGGTCACGGTTGTCCCAAAGTGCTTTTTTTCCAAAAGGCAACTGGACTTTCTTGGTTTTTGTTTTTTCTTTCTTTCTTTGAAAACATTTCACTTCTCATCCAAGAAGCTTCTTCCATTCAGAAAAGAAGAAAAGAAAAACCCAAGAAAGTCCACTTGCCTTTTGGAAAAAAGCACTTTTGGAACAATCAAGGTACATGTTTTTAATATATAGCCTGTTTTCAGTGGTTCCAGAAACCATTGGGCCACTTCAGTGGTTCATCGCTTTGAGGAAGGAAAACACTGTCCAGCATTTTTAGTAACGGCCAGTCCGTTTGTAAGTACAAGTTGTGACTTGCATACAAATTCAGGGTAAAGACAGAATTAGGAACGGAACTTGTTCTTAATCCAGAGATTTTATTGTTGCTAGTTGTGAAATTGTGTCCGACCCATCGCAACTCCATGGACAACATTCCTGCAGGCCTTCCTGTCCTCTACCATCCTCCTTGGAGTCCATTTAAGCTCATGCCGACTGCTTCTGCGACTCCATCCAGTCACCTCATTCTCTGCCGTCTCCTCCTTCTTCTATTGCCCTCAATCTTTAGGCTCTTCTCCAGGGAGTCCTTCCTTCCTTCTCATGAGTTGGCCAAAGTCTTTGAGTTTCATCTTCAGGATCTGGCCTTCCAAAGAGCAGTCAGGTTTGATCTCCTCTAGGACTGACCGGTTGGATCACCTTGCAGTCCAAGGGACTCTCAGGAGTCTCCTCCAGCACCAGAGCTCAAAGGCCTCCATTCTTTGGCGCTCAGCCTTCCTTATGGTCTAACTTTCACAGCCCTACATTGCAACTGGGAAAACCATAGCCTTGACTATGCGCACTTTTGTTGGCAGGGGGATGTCTCTGCTTTGTAGTATGCTATCTAGATTTGCCATAACTTTCCTCACCAGGAGCAAGAGCCTTTTAATTTCTTGGCTTCAGTCCCCATCTGTGGTGATCTTGGAGCCCAGGAAAATAAAATGTGTCACTCCCTCCATTTCTTCCTCATCTATTTGCCAGGAATTGAGTGGGCCGAATGCCATGACCTTAGTTTGCTTAATGTTGAGTTTCGAGCCAACTTTTGCACTCTCCTTCTTCACCCGCATCAAGAGGTTTTTTAGTTCCTCTTCGCTTTCTGCCATTAGAGTGGTATCATCTGCATATCTGAGGTTGTTGATATTTTTCCCGGCAATCTGAATTCCAACTTTTGATTCATCTACCCCACCTTTCTCATGATGGTTCTCTGCATATAAGTTAAATAGGCAGGGTGACAATATACAGCCTTGCAGAACTCCTTTCTGAATTTTGAACCAATCAGTGATTCTGTGTCCAGTTCTCACAATTGCTTTTTGACTCTCATATAGGTTTCTCAAGAGACAAATATGATGGTCTGGTACTCCCATCTCTTTAAGAACTTGCCACAATTTGTTGTGATCCACACAATCAAATCCAGGGATGCCTACTGTTAATTTATGTTCCTATCTTGGACAAATGCAATCCTTAGTAGCTTAAATTTAGATCAATATTACAAGATTAATCCTATGAGCCGAGTGCATCTATTCCATGCTGCGCAACAATAAGATTACATGATGTAACCTTCACTGCAAAAAATAACTGCTCTCCTTTTTTTTTTTAAATAAAGTTTTATTGAGCTTTAACAAAACAAAACATCTCATTTGAGTACAGCATGGTTCCGGGTTATCACATTTCCATACAGACACAATTTCATATGCATATTCATCTTATGTATTCAACTTCATATCTTTTTACTCTTTTTCCAACTTCTCATTATTTCTCCCTTTACTTCTCTTAATTTTCTTTTATGGTTATCTCATTTTCTTCTTATTCAATTGTATTTCTTTTACCTAAATTTCTATATCTTTTTATTCATTGTACTTATACTTTCATTTGTCTTGTTTACAATTTGATATGTTCTCTTCCAACATTCTTAAGAAGCAAAATTCCCCCTATGATTGCCAATCGAAGTGCAACACCTTTAAATATTATTATTATTATTATGAAATCTCATTAAACATTGAATTTGTGCATTCTAAAATTATAACATTCAAATTTCTAATATCTATTTTATATCACATAAATCTCATGATTCAGACTCTGCTTGGTACTTCCCCTTGAAAATGTAAAAAGAAAAATTCTAAAAACATAGCAAAAACAATTATAATTATATCTATATCTATATCTATCTATCTATCTATCTATCTTATCTATCTATATGTTTTCTTAAGTTTTCGCGGGTACTTACATGCATGTTATTCAGCTTTGTTCGGGTATTTTCCCACGTCATTATAGTTGTGCTTTTAAAGTTGTAGCAACGTTTCGGCATACACATACATGCACACACACACACACACACACACACACAC